TGGCAGTGCTTGGTTGATGGTTGGACTTGTTGATCATAAAATTCTCTTCCAACACGGATGATTCTATGATTCTATCATTCTATTCTACATCAGCTTTCTTTAGCCTTGAACTTTAGGAAACCCAACTAACCAAAACAAAAAAGAAGTGAGAAAAATAAGTACTCAGCACCCTCACAGACGCTCAGCATCCGCAGAGCACCTGCGGGTGCTGAGCCCTCTGTGAGGGTCCTGAGCGCTCTGTGAGGGTGCTGAGAGCTCTTTGAGGGTGCTAAGGATGAGACCAAAGCCCCAGGATAGGATGAGACCAAGGCCCCAGGACAGGATGCGACCAAAGCCCCAGGACAGGATGAGACCAAAGCCCAAAGTCCCAGGACAGGATGAGACCTAAGCCCCAGGACAGGATGAGACCAAAGTCCCAGGACAGGATGAGACCAAAGCCCAAAGTCCTGGGACTTTGGTCTCATCCTGTCCTGGGGCTTTGGTCTCATCCTGTCCTGGGACTTTGGTCTCATCCTCAGCACCCTCACAGAGCACTCAGCACCCACACAGCGCTCAGCACTCGCTCAGCACCCTCACAGAGTGCTCAGCATCCTCACAGAGCGCTCAGCACCTGCTCAGCACGCTCACAGAACACGGTGAAAGTTAGGGGGCCGAGGGACAATGTCGGGAGGCTTGGGGTGACACACAGACATTGTGGACTGAGGGGTAAAGATGGGAGGGCTTGACAGGGGCAGAGCTGACACTGAGGGTTAGGGGTACAAAGGACAGGACACAGGATACCAGGTAGGGTTAGGGCACAGGTGCAGCAGCCCTCACCCCAGCTCTAAGCTCACCCTAAACAGCACAACAGTTTTCCCCAACACAGCATCCCCAATGCTGGGACAGCCCCAGAGCTCTCCCAGCAGCCGCAAGCAGCGACCCTAATAACAAGGTAGCAATGACGTTTGTGGGCTAGAGAGTGACAGGGAGGAGTTGGGGGCTGAGCAGTTTTTAGATTTTTTTGGGGTTTTTTCTTTTTTTTTTTTTTTCAGGGCTTTAACTCCAAGACCAAATCTGCAGCCAAGGAGAATTCTGAGCGACCTGGGAGCACCAAACGCCTGCAGCAAACTGATGTAAGGAAACTGGGGTGGGGAGTCTTGTTTCCCATGGAAAAGGGCCGGCATTCCTGTGTATGGGCCTGCGCCCTGCCCAGGACCTTTGGTCCCGAGTGGGCTGTCACCTAAAATTCCAAACTGCTCAGGTGAGACAGGAGGTTGGAAATTTAACTTGGGGGAGAAACCAGTTTTGGATTTAGTTGAAGTCTACTGGTTAAACTTGTGTAGTCTGTTAACTTGTGTGCTTGCAAAAAGGTCTGCAGAGAGAGCAAAGGAAGTTCAAGGCTACTTAGAAAGGAATGCAAGAATCCAAGCTGAAGAGGAGGTGTGAATCTGGGTTACAAGTGAGTGCACGGCCTCATCCCAGTGTGAGTAAAAGTTTGAGGTTTTGCAGGCACCCGTCACCGAGTGCTGCTGGGGGTGGAGGGGTCCCCGGTCGTCACCGAGTGCTGCTGGGGGTGGAGGGGTCCCCGGTCGATAGGGCAACGTGGGAGGGGTGTAATTTAACTCCAGTCTCGGGACACAGCTGATGGCTCCTTTAGGACAAGACTATTTACATGTAGAAGCAAGTCCCTCACTTTTCTCTTATGTTTTTAACCCCCAAAAGTTCAGTACATATCACAGGCAATGTGGAGTCCCCTTTCCCAGCCCCAATGATTCCAGCTCTTGACCCACAACCTTTATTTCACAGCCAGCTCTGTTCTTGCAGCTCCAGCTCTGCGCTTCTCCGGCTTCACAGGGCAGCATCTTGGTCTTATGCATTTTCAACCACAATCGCAGCTCCACAGTGGTTTTGGCTCCATCCCTGGAAGTGCCATCAGAGACCCAGGCAACATCCCAGCATCGCCGGGGGTTTCAGGCACCTTGCTGCAGCCCACTTTTCTCCTCCACACGTCCTGTTCTAACCCTAACCCTTAACCCTAACCCTAACACCTAACCCTAACCCTAACCCTTGCCCTAGGCAGGAAATCAGCCTAGGGCTAGGGCTGGTTCCAGGGAAAAAGCTGTGAAGGAAGGCACGTTGTGGCAGTTTTGTGTTCCCCTTGGGATGCCCTTTGCAGCTGCAGTGCGCCTGGAGCCCTGGGCTTTGTGGTTTTCAAAACCCCAGCCCTAACCCTGACCCTAACCTAACCCTAACCCTAATCCCAAACCCTAACCCCAAACGTTAACCCCAACCCTAACCCCTAACCCTAACCCCTAACCCAACACTGTCCCTTTTCCTTGGCATACAAAACTCACCAGCCCAGGTTCCTGATGTCAGTTTACATGTGGGTTCGTGGTGGGGTGTCAGTTTTTCTGTGCAGGATTTCTCCTCTACAAAGCTTCCAGCATCTCGCCCTAGCCACAATGGCTCCACTGGGCCTGGAACTCACAGCCTTTAGACCATCAATGTCTTTCCCAATCCACTCCGTCACCGCTGGCCCTTTTTAAATGCATTCCACTGCAGTCCTAAAACTCTGCATTTTCATCGAGCAATCCCTCTCTTTCTGACCCTGAAAATATTTCAAAAACCCCTGAAATAGCCTTTAAAAACTCCTTAGGTTACTATTTAAAGACAAAAAAAGTCCTAAGAGACCTTCAAAATTTTCTTATATATCCTTAAAAGTTGTAGAAATATCCTGAGATAAACCTGCTTAGCCTCCTGGCCCCACCTCTTGCTCTTCCTGTTCCTCCCTCAGCTCCCAGCCTCTGTCATCCTCAAGCCCCCACAGTGCCCCTCAAGAGGCCCCTCAGCCTCTGTCATGGCCTGAAAGGACCCTAAAAAACCCTATACATTCCCTAAAAAAGCCCTAGTTTTCAAAGTACCATAAAAACCCCAAAATAGCCTCAGAATACCCATAAAATACACTAAAAATTCCTTACTTTTAAAAAACCCCTCTAACACCCCTAAAAATCCCCAAAGAACCTTTTAAAAAATCCAATGAGCTAGGAAAAAAATGGGGAAATAAAGGGGGGAAGAGGAAAAGAGGGGGGAAGAGGGGACAAAAAAGGGGTAAAAAGAGAAAAAGGGGGGGGAAGAGGGGAAAAAAAGAAAAAAAGGGGGGGAAAAAGAGGGGAAATGCAACATAGGTACAAAATAATAGGAATAAAGCAGAATTTCAGTCTGGGACACGCAGAGAACTGGGAATTTCCACCTCGTCATTGCGTCCCTCTGGAATTGCAAGGACGGTAAAGGGGAAGCGTGGAAGCGTAAAAAACCAAAAAGCTGGGAATTCTCTCTCCCCTTGGGAATGTCCATCACAGCTCTCCGGCCGTGTTGATGACATGGAAGAGCGTGACGTTGTAGATGACCTGGTGGCCGTTATTCCAGGTGTAGAGCACCCTCTCCCGTGGGTTGTAGTCCAGCATGGAAATGTGGGAATACTGATTATGGAAGGGGATATCCGTGTATTCGTAGCTGGAAGTGTTCGTGTGATAAGCGAAATAAATCTTGGCGCCGGCCAGGTGGGAATTGGTGACGTAGAGAATCCCGCAGATCATGAAGGATTCGCCCGCGCTCCGTTTGGGGTATCCCGTATCCCAGCTCCGCAGCACTTCCAAAGTGTGCGGGTCCACCCGGCTCACCACGATGTTCCCAGCGTTTTGGTTGGTGGTGTAGACGGCCCAAAGTCCGTTTTCATCCACCATGAAGTCGATGTCGGAAAAGCCGCCCCAGGAATACGGGAAGGTGTTGTTGTATCCGGCGCCGGAGAGGCTGCGTTGAACCAGGACGCTGCGGGATCGGAAGTGGTAGCGGACGGCGACATTGCTCTGGAATTTGTTGTAGTACAAGGAGCCGTTGAAGACTACGTGGCCGGTGCCGGCCCAAGGGTGAGGCAGGAGGTGTTGGACAAAGTTTTGGCCGGAGACGAAGTCGGTGAGGCTGCGGAATTCCAGCACGCGGCGGCCTTTGTAGTAGCCATCCATGTACCACACCTGGAGGGGAGAAATGGGGTTAAAATGGGGGGAAATGGGGTTTCAGGCTGCTCCAGGTGGGATCAAAAGCCCCTCAAGATGGGATCAAAACCTCTTCAAGGTGGGTTCCAAAACCTCATCAAGGTGGAATCCAAACGCACTGGAGATGCGATCAAATCCCCCCATCCAGGATTTTCAGAGAACAGTGCCCAAAAAGCACAGGGATTGTGCCCAAACCCCAACTCCGTGATTTCAGGACCCCAAAAACGCCCCATGGATTCCCAGCCAGGTGCCAAATCCATGGGTTTTGGATTTTCACCAGAAAACTGCTGGGATTTTGCCCAAATCCCCCTCAAATCCCAAATCCAGGATTTGAGCACCCCAGAAAATTTTGGGGGATGTTAAGGGAGATTTTGGGCAGGATTTTAGATTCCCTTCCAGGTGCCAAATCCATGGGTTTTCAGGGATCACCGTGCCCAAAAAGTGCCAGGATCCCCACATCCCCTCAGATCCAGGAGATTTTTTAGGAAAATCCTGGGTTTTGGGGGTGGCCCTCACCCGGCTGTCAGTGCTGGGCGTCATCGTGTCGGTCATCCAGGATCCAAAGCGCGACCCCGAGGCGCGGATGGTGATGGGATTGCTGACCCCTGTCAGCTTTCCGCAGCCTGGAAAAATTGGGGGAAAATACTGGAATTTTGGGAAAATCAGGAGTTTGGAAAAGCTGGAGTTATGAGAAAAATTAGGGAATTGGAAAACCAGGGGAAAAAATGGGAATTAGGGAGGAATCAGGGATCAGGGCCGCAGCAGGGTCGGGGAGGCCCTGGAGAGTCTGGGAATGGGATTGTGAAGGGGAAATGGGATTTCCGTTGTGTTTTGGGGGATTTTTTGGGTGGATTTTGGACAGAATTGGTGGGAATTTGGGAGAGGTTTTGGGGGGGAATTTTGGCAAGGTTTTGGGGGATTTTGGGACAGATTTTAGAGATGTTTGGGGGAATTTGGAGGGGATTCTGGAGAGGTTTTGCAGGACTTTTAGGAGAGGATTTGGGGCAGATTTCGGGTGGATTTTTTTGTGGGTTTTGGGGCGGATTTCAGCAAGGATTTTGGAGAGGATTTTTGGGCCCATTTCCACCACGATTTTTTTTTTTTCAGCATTTGAGGCAAAATTCGGGATTTTTAACAGGATTTTTTTACCCAGCTTCTGCAGGCAGGCGTGCAGCCGCGCCTCCAGCAGCAGCACGCGCTGCTGCAGCTCCTCGTAGTCGTAAGCTCCCATCTCCTCCTGGATTGCCAGGAGAATTCCGGAGAGGTTCCGAACCTCGTCCTTGAGGTGCACGATGAGCCGCGAGTCCGCCTTGTACTGCTCCAGCACCGGCAGCAGCGGCAGCAGCTCCCGCATCTTCTCCTTCAGATCCTGTGGGAAAAAATTGCGGAAAAATTTGCCCCAAAATCCCGGGATTCGCCTTTAGATCCTGCAGAAAAGAAATCAGGAAAAATGGCCCCAAAATCACAGGCTTCGCTTTGTTGTTCTTTCCGATCCTGGGGTAAAAAGTTCGGGAAAAATCGGTCCCGAAATTCCGCGGTTCACCTTCTGATCCTGTGGGCAAAAAATTGGGGAAAATTAGTCCAAAATCCCAGGGTAATGGCTTTTTTTGGGAAGCTGTTTGTTCCTTGGGATAAATGGGGTGTTCAGGATTGGGAATTCCAAAAAATCTTGGGATTTTCAGCTCTGGAAACCCCAGAAGGATCCTGAGACCTGATCCCACGGGAAAAATCCTGAAATGTGGAAGAAATAAACAAGGGAAAAACTGAAGTACAGCGGGAATAAATCAGGGAAAAATACGGACTAAATCGGGGGGGGAAGGGCTGGAAAACCAGGATTTTTTTTGAGATAAAAAGCGGGAATTTCTCACCTGGAAGCTGCGGGCGTTGAGGGCTTTGTGGCCCTCAGAGGCCACGCGGAGCCGCGAGTCCAGGCCCTTCATCAGCGCCTCCGTGTTCCGCACATACTGCAGGTCCCGGAAGGTGCGGAGATCCAGGACTTCCATGGACTGGGAGATGTTCTGCACCTGGAGGGGTCGTTAACGGCGTTAATCACGGTCATTAGTGGGGTTCATCCTGGTCATTAATGGGGTTAATCACTATCATTAATGGGATTCATCCTAGTCATTAATGGGGTTCATCACTGTCATTAATGGGGTTCATCCTGGTCATTAATGGGGTTAATCACGGCCATTGATGAGGTTAATCACGGTCATTAATAGGGTTCATCTCTATCATTAATGGGGTTAATCACTGTCATTAATGGGGTCCATCCTGGTCATTAATGGGGTTAATCACGGCCATTGATGAGGTTAATCACGGTCATTAATAGGGTTCATCTTTGTCATTAATGGGGTTCATCCCGGTTATTAATGGGATTAATCACGATAATTAATGGGGTTCATCCTGGTCATTAATGGGGTTAATCACGGCCATTGATGAGGTTAATCACGGTCATTAATAGGGTTCATCTCTATCATTAATGGGGTTCATCCTGGTCATTAATGGGATTCATCCTAGTCATTAATGGGGTTAATCACTGTCATTAAAGGGGTTCATCCTGGTCGTTAATGGGAATCTCCATGAGGATCCTCATCCCTGGAATCCCCACAGGGACTTTCACCCCAAGCCCAAATCCCCCCATTCCCAACAACAATTAACCCCTTCGTTACCCACACAAATTAACCCATTAACAAATTCCACAACAATTAACCAGTTCCCGTCAGTGAACTAATGCATTAACAATCCGTTCTGGATCATTTGGGAATTCCCGACCTTTTCCAGGAGCTGCCGGAGCTGGAGGCTGCGGAGATCCCGGGAGCAGGATCCCTGCACGGGAATCACGGCGGTGCAGAGACATTTCCCATCCGGAGCCTGCGCCGAGGTGAAAACCTGCCAGCCCTCGTCTGGGCTCTGGAAAAGGGTCTGGAACATTGGGGGCGGGACCTCAGAATTCCCGAAAAAACCCAGGATGATCTGGAAATTCCCAGGTCCCAGAAAATCCCGATCGCAAAATTCAGTTTATTCCCATTTTTGTCTCTTTTCACCCTCTTTCCTCCTCTTTTCCCCCCATTTTTCCTTATTTTATCCCCCTTTTCCACTTTTTTCTCCCATTCCTCGGCAGATGACGTCACAACCTCGCTGACAGGAAAAAAATTAAAAAAAAAAAGAGGAAAATCCCTCCCGGTTCTCCCCCAAAAATTCGGGGAAAATAAAAAAGCAAAAAACTACAAAAACGGGATGAACCTCGGGAATTACCCCACATCGCGCCAGCCCCAAAATCGCCGTTTTTCCGCCGAAAAAGGAAAACACAGGAATAAAAAAAAAAAATTCCCAGGAAAAAACCGGGAGCAGCCGCAGCCCCTCCCCCACCCGCTGGAGCCGTCATGAATCCTTAATTAGGGAGCGTTAATGAATAATTAATGAGTGAGCGTTAATGAATACTTAATGAGAGCGGCCTGGCCGGAGCCGGGGGGG